TTGTATTTTCAATTATATCATGAGGTTTTGTTACTGAAATTTTACTTCTAATTGTATTTTCAGTTTTGAAGATAGTCCTAATATTAAATTTTTTATTTATTAGAATTCCCACGAACAAAACAAAATCAAAATAAACCTATTACGAACCTTTTCATTCCATTTAATCCGGGACTTTCAGATCAAATTAAACGAGTAGGTAATTCAGAGCTATTGTTATACAATTTATTAACATACTCTTTTTTAGGTTCATTTAGGTTCTTTTGATAACGATAGCCGAAAATAGTTATCGAAACGTCAAGGTAATTTTTCAAATTAATTTCTCTACTAATTGGAATTTCCTCTTACAGCTTGAGCCTAAGTGTGTCGCAGAGTCGTGTTATTGCGAAATAGGAGCACTATTTATCAATCTGTAATAAAAGACGTGAGGAAATTCAGTCTTTTTTAAAGACAAAAATTTTTGAGGCGAAATACCCAAAAAGAAGTTTGTAAAAAATGAATCCGCCTCAACAATATAGAACTTATCTATAACTTTCCAATGTTGATCAATTTTTTCAGCCCACCGTAACCATCGGCCGAGATCATTATTACTCTGCTAAATTTCATGCTCTTTCGAATGGATTTTTTTCAAGGTCATCAGTCTAACTGTCAATTTTGAGACAATTTTCAAACACTCAACTAGCAAAATTGACAATTTCGTTAATTTGACATATCTGTCAAATAGTTTCACTGACAACGTGGTGAATTTATCATTAATTATTCTCAAGGTCATCTCGATTTTTTACATTGACAGTTGCATCGTTCACTGTCACTCTACACACTTGATTTTTTGGTTGATTTTCGACAATTTAAATTTTTTTAATAATAAATTAACGTAATAAAAAATGAACGTGACACGATTCGGTGACAGGAAGGACAAGTACGTGGTGATCAACGACCACAAGGCGCTGCGCTACGACCTGCTGTTCCTGATGTGCGGCGAAAAGTTCCAGAAACCGTTGCAGGACTACCGGATGCCGTTCGCCGAAAACCCCGAGAACGTGTTCCTGATCAATTGCCCCATGGACGGCAACAAGGCGGTGCTCAAGCTGAAGGAGTACCAGCGCGGGGAGCACCACGAAGGTACCGCCCCGCCTGCCTCCTGCTCGGGTTGTAGCCAATGGACGCGGGCAAATTGCAGAAAAAGTGATCGTCTACGGCCACTTCCTGCAGGCGTACAGCTGCCTGGCCGGCCTGCTGGAGTACGGCGTGCCGGGCAGCCGGATCGCGCTGGTCGAGCCCTTCCCCTACAGCATGAACATCGACAAGAGGCGCCGCCACAACATCTCGGTGTTCAACGATCCGGACATCTACCACGCCACCATGGACTTCATCGGCCAGCAGGCCATCCAGGTCTACTCCTCCTACTACTTCATCAACTGGACCTTCTCGCAGGAGACCAACGCGGTGACGGCCGTCACCTTCGAGTCCAAGCACAAGATGCTGGAGATGAGCTGCCAGGCGATCTTCTTCTTCTACGACAAGAGCATCAGCCCGCGCATCTACCAGGTGATCAACCAGGCGGGCCTGGTGTTCGACGGTACTGCCCGGCGACCGGCTGCGGCCCACCAGTGAAACGGGGGGCGATTTCCAGGCCGCCTGGTGGTGGACAGCAACTGCCGCACCAACGACGAGTGGATCTACGGCGCGGGCACGCTCACCAAGTACTCCAGGCGCTACTTCGCCTCCAACATGCTCCACAAGTACTTCAACCGCGTGGAGATCGGCGCCAAGCTGGGGCAGCAGGTGCGCAACATGCTGGTGCCGGGCTTTGTGAAGCGCTGCGACCCCAAAAAGCACGGCTGGAACTTCCATCTGGACATCCGCGATCGGTGAGTCCCGCTGCGGACAGAGTGGCGAATGCGCCTGCACGGCCTCCAATTGCCCGCAGCCTGGTGCCCAAGTACGAGCAACCGATCATGCGCTACTGCCGCCTGCCCGGGGGGCTCTACTACCTGTCGGTGGTCAAGCCGGGGCGGCGCATCCCCCTGGAGACCGCCAGCTCCATGGAGAACTATGTGAGTTCATTCACCCCGTCAGGAACTGCGCCGAGTTGTTGCTGCTGCAACTGTTGCAGGGGCAGGTGTTCGTGACGGGCAACTGCCGCAACCTGGACACCCAGGGCTTCTTCAAGTTGCACTTCAACGAGTACAGCCGCGTGGAGACCATCAGCTGCCTGACCAAATTCGTAGGTCTCCCCAGCTTGTCGCGTAGGCGAGATCGCCCATGGGCTTGTGCCGCAGCCCATCGACGTCAAGAACATCCACTGCCTGTGGGGCAAGCACGAGAAGCTGCTCAACAACCTGCAGCTGCGCTTCGAGATGGTGCTGATCGGCGACTTCTACGAGTACTTCCGCCAGCCCTGGGCCTGCGCCCTCTACCACGACCGCTTCGAGCAACTGCTGGACGACCTGAACAACATCATGACCTCATCAGTGGTAGGCGCCAGCCGCCTCCCGCCCGCCGCTCAAACATCCGCTGTTTCAGGGCAACGACGACGACGACTGCCTCATTTCCGGCATCATCGAGATGTACAAGCAGCGCAAGTGGCAACCGGTAAACCGACGGCGCTCCCACACCCACTCCACTCACCCCGCCACCTTTGCAGCTGACCGAGGACCAGCAGGGCGAGATCGAGGACAAGTTCCCCACCATGCCCTACCCGAAGATCATCGAGCAGAAGGTGCTGGACTTCGTCCAGGCCAACCTCAGCTACCTGCCGATGTACGCCCACCCAGCGGTAGTGCGCACCATCTTAGAAGGCTTCGACAAGAGCCCCTTGTTCGCCAAATAAACCCCCTTAAGCTAGCTCACCTTGTCGTTGTAGCGGCGCCGCCGGATCTCAGCGACGATCCACGGCAGCATCGCGCTGCTGAAGCGCCGATCCATCGCAGCGAAGCCCTGGTAGGTGACGGGGATCAGCTTCATGGCGCGCCTGGGACAATGGGGGCCCGCACGCTATTGCACTGCAAACACGCGTCGCGACACTGGGGGGAAACGCGCACTTTTCGCGCCGCTTATCGATCGCGCCGACCTTTGACTGCCGGTCGGCCCCCAATTGCCGGAAAATCGATCCGGAAACCGGTTCAGTGACGGCGGGAGCCGATGAGATGGCGCCCGCTCGACAAGCACGCGCCCACGGGTCCACCGTTTTTCCTGGGGGGCCGCTCATGTTTGTAAACACCAGATTGAGGTTAGCAGGTGGTTGGGTGGATGACCTCGGGCAAAACATGGGCGCTGTTGCCTTTGCCCCGCTGGGGCGTGGCTGGTTGCCCGCCTCCAGTTTTCCCCGCCTGCAAGGGAGTTAAAACAAATTAACAAAACCAGAACCAACTGCGATTCTTTCCGATTGGCTAAAACCAGCTCAATTGCGCCCCAAAGGATTTAAACATCCCCCCAAAACCCGCATCGCGGCATTGCCAGTTGCACGCGAGCCTTATCACTGACATTGACAACTGCCACGACAGGGGTTTGTTGTTGATTCAGAACCTAGTTTGGGGGTGGAAACAAAGAAAAAAACCCAGTCTAGTGATGACGATTTGCCGCTAATCCCCAGCCGTAGGGTCGCAGTCCATTCGGTAAGCAGCGCGCTTTAGGGGCTGCGCCCCCATGACTAAAAGCCGCCTTTGCAGTTTATATGCGGTGTGCGTGGACGCAGCGCTTGATCAGACGACGCCCCAGAATGAGTGGCGTGGACGAGCTGCCGTGGGGCGTGCGCGCCATCCGGCACCTGGCCAGCCGCTGTTGCCCCAACCGGCTGCACTTCAACCGGGAGGTTTGGTGGGTGGGGCTGCGCCCCCGCGCTGGTTCGCACTAAATTGCGGGTGTTTCAGCTATCGCAGCAGCGTCGTCCTGTTGACTTATGTCGCCTACATGTCCTACCACATGTCGCGCAAGCCCATTTCCGTGGTCAAGGCGGTGCTGCACCGGAACTGCAGCGCGTTGGCGCCCCCCGCGCCCGACGCGCCCCACAACTGGTGCGATTGGGCGCCGTTTGGTAAGCAGCCTAACCATTCCCTGCCTGAGCCCGGTTTAGTCGGCCCCCTAAACTTGCAGATGGGAGCGACAGCAAGTCTTCGCAGCTGCTGGGCGAGCTGGACTCGGCCTTCCTGTTCAGCTACGCCGCTGCTATGTTCGCTTCCGGGTTCGTAGCTGAGCGCGTCAATCTGCGCTACTTCCTCAGCCTGGGCATGCTCTGCTCGGGCATTTTCAGCTACATGTTCGGCATCGGCAAGACCTACCAGGTGCACAACATCTGGTTCTACATCGTGGCGCAGGTGAGTCCCAGCGCTGAGTCTCACGCGCGTCTTAGCCAATGGGGGCGTTTGCAGGCGCTGGCGGGCGTGGCCCAGACCACAGGCTGGCCGGGCGTGGTCACCGTGATGACCAACTGGTTCGGCAAGGGCAAGCGCGGCCTGATCTTCGGCCTGTGGAACTCGCACACCAGCATCGGCAACATCCTGGGTAAGTGCGCCAGGGCCCCGCCCTCGAGCCGCTCCAAGCCAATCGGTTGCAGGCTCGGTGATCGCCGCCCACTACGTGGAAACTGATTGGGCGCTGTCCTTCATCGTGCCGGGGCTCATCATCGGCCTGCTGGGCTTCGCCCTCTTTCTCTTCCTGGTGGTGCGGCCCAGTGACGTCGGGATCAATCCGTGCCAGGAGCGGGCTTTCCGGCCGCTCCACAACCAGGTGGCCAACATGGAGGCCGGCTCCAGCAACTCGGAGGTGGACGACTCGGATATCACGATAGGCGAGCATGTAAGTGGGGGCGTGGCCTCAAGATGGCCCGGTTAACGGGGCGTGGTTTAGGAGGTGCTTCGGCGGGGCGTCAACGAGCGCTCGCGCCTGCTCGGGGACGGCGGCGACGACAAGCAGGATCAAGATCAAGCCATCGGATTCGCCGGCGCCCTCAAAATCCCCGGGGTGATTGAGTTCTCCTTGACGCTGTTCTTCGCCAAGCTGGTCAGCTACACGTTCCTCTACTGGCTGCCTTTGTACGTCAACGCCTCTAGTAAGCGCCCGCTAGTCGCCCTGTTGCGCCCAATTAACCAGCTTCGCTTGCAGCCACAATGGGGGCCACGCTGAGCGCCGACTTGTCCACCCTGTTCGATGTGGGCGGCATCGTGGGCGCCATCGTAGCGGGCGTGGTCAGCGACCGGACGGAAATGCCCGCCTTCACCTGCGTCGTCATGTTCCTGCTCTCCGCCCCCATGGTGAGTGCTCCCCAGCCCCGGCCTCACACTCCCTCACTTGCCCCTTGCAGATGTTCATCTACCAGCGCCTGAGCGTGATGGGGCTCGGCGTCAACATGCTGATGCTCGTGCTAGTGGGGCTGCTAGTCAACGGGCCGTATGCGCTCATCACGACGGCCGTGTCCGCTGAGCTGGGCACCCACCACAGTCTCGAGGGCAACTCCAAGGCTCTGGCCACTGTCACCGCCATCATCGACGGCACCGGCTCCATAGGTATGCAAGGGGGCGCCGCCCCGCGGCTTTTAGTCAATTTTGCGTTGCAGGCGCCGCCGTCGGCCCCCTGCTGGCCGGCTTCGCGTCCACCCGCGGCTGGCATCTGGTGTTCGACATGCTCATCCTGTCTGATCTCGTCGCCCTTTTGCTGCTTTTGCGGCTCGCCAAGCACGAAGTGGCGCGCTTCAGGCACAGACGCGAGTAGCGCCGCCCCAATCCCCATGTACATACCATAAGGACCCCCATTCGAGTAATAAACGACTATTTTTAATTGGGCGTGTTTCACTTACCGGTGGGCTCCGGGGGCCCCATTTCCTCGCAACACTGACACTTTGGGGGATGAGTTAAACGCGTCAATGGCGGCTTGACGTGGTTGCCGCTGCGGGGTTGTCGGCAGTTTGGGCGCGGCTCGACCCATCAATGGATCCCTTGATTTAATTTAAAAAAAATTCAATTAAATTAAGCAGCGCAAAGGGCAAGAGCGACTTTTGGAATTTCTGGCAAATAACAATTAATTAATTTAAAATAGCGGGTGGAAACCCACCGAAGGGGCTGCCATGGCCGGGTCGCCATGGCGATCCAAACAATCAACCATCAATTGTTATTTGGCGTCACATGCTCTAACATCGGCGAGCCAAAATGGCTCTAAAAACCTCCAAAATTACCAGTGAAGTGCTCCAAACAGTGAGTAGTGGGCGTTTTGGGGCGGCCCCCCGTAACTAACCACGCCCCGTTTCAGTGCAACAAGTTCTTCTCCAGCAGCGGCGCAGCCGTCAAAGGCAAGCTACCGGCCGCCCTTAGGCCTGCGCTGCGCTACAAAATCACCAACACCGGCAAGCCGGAAGGGCTGCCGGATCTGGGGTTCAAGCCCGAGCCGGCCACGATGTTTGCCGAGCTGCAGCCGGCCGCCGAGCCCGAGTTCCGGTTCGACTGCCACCCGCCCAAATGGGCGACCAAGGCGTAGGTAGCCCCCCCATGGGCAAGCGATTTAACCTAATAGATTCCAGGGCGGACAGTAGTCCGTTCCCGGACACGCTCAAGCCGAAAAGGCGACTGCATGTGACCTACAGCGACCAGCAAAAGGCCAACGACAAGATGCTCAAGTACAAAATTACGAGTTTGAATCAGACGCGCAGCTTTTCCACGCAGCGACAGTTCAGCGGCAAGCCGCCCGCGGAGAACAGCGGCGCCGGCTCGTGCAAGCGCAAGCCGCACCCGTGCTACAAGGCCAAGCACAAGAACTGCGCACTGGCCAATAAGGACTGTCCGCGCTTCAAGCTGCTGGAATGCGAACAGTCCAAAGGGTCCAACTGCAAGCTGAACTACCTGGATGTAAGTGAATGCGAAGGGGCGTGGCCAGTTCAGTTGCAGCCCTCTGTTCCAGCCCAACTGCACGAAAAAGTCCGCGCCCTACCCGTCCTACAGTGAGTCATGCGCCGAAAGCCTGCCAGACGACCCGTCCGAGTGCCAGCAGTGCCCTTGGCGCACGTGCGATGGCGCCGACACCATCGAACCCGGAAAACCAGTGCGCAACCGGCGCAGCTTTAGGTAAACTGCAGCCGTCAGGCCCCGCCCCTTTACAAGAGTGCGTGCTTTAGCACTTCGTGCCATCTGGAAACCACCACGGGCGTGGTGCCGGGGCCGGCGGTCCCGCCCTTCCCCCTACTGTTCAACAAGGAGGACTGCGGCCAGACGAAGCGCCCCTGCAAGCAGCCGCCCGGGCCCTGTGAGGTGCGGCGCCAGAAGGAGGAGGAGCAGCGCAAGGAGCGCGAAATCCGAATCCCGCCACGCCCCAAAAAAGCCGCCGCAGTCCTACTGGCCAAGAAGAAGCACCCCAACTGCCATCCGCAGGGGCCCAAGAAGCCCAAGCGACCGGACGAGGGCAGTGTTGATGTAAGTAGTCACAGACTGGGCGAAGTTGAGGTTAAGCCACGGGGCGCACGCGCGATTTAATTGACATGGCTGCGCGCCGACGTTTCACGAGTGAGTTAAGTGAGTTGCGTCGAGCCCCCTCAGTGCCAGCCACGCCCCCCGTGACGGCAGGTAAGTGATCAGCGGCGATGGGCTGGAAGGGGGGGCGGGGCCGGCACTTTTGATGAGTCTGCGCTTTTTCAGACGGCGGTCAAGCCGAAATGCATCAAGCCGACCAATCGCAAGGAGCGCAGCCACCCGGATTTTTACTAACGGGCCCCCTGTTTTCCAGGCGGACTTGTCCATCGAGTATGGCAACGTCGAGTGGTGGCATGGGCGTGGCAAGAAACCGGTGGTATACGGGGGCGTGGTAAGTTCACCCCACTGTCGCCGGCTTGTGCTGGATTTTGCGCGTTTTAGGGCGACAAGTGCGACGACGTCACCATCAGGAGCAAGCAGGTATTTGACTGGGCAACGCCCATTGCGAAAGCCACTGATCGGCTGTTTTAGGAAGTGACAAAGAAGGGATGGCGCAAAAAGGCCACGCCCCAGGACCAGGTGCGCAACAAGACCACGCCCTTCAAGGTGCGGCGCAGGCGCTAGTTGGCAGCAAATAAACACCGTCCCGAATGGCAATTGTTTTCATTTCCCCGCCATGCTCGCGAGCAACGTTTCGTCCGCTTTAACCACTCGCATCATGGCCTGTTGCAGACGGCGCTGCTGCTCAAGGAAAAGCGGATTAAGGGCGACGAGGGCCACCCGCCGCCCTGCGAGGATCAGCGCCAGGACAGCCTCAACTGCCCCGACAAGCCGCTGAAGAAGCCCAAGTACAAGCGGCGGCCGATGGACCGCGGCTACTACAAGCGCCCTGAGGACCCCTACAATCCCTCGAACGGCGGCAAATAGCGAATAAAGACCTGCGCTCGAAGGGCGGCCGTTTTATTGGGGCGGGTGGGTGGTTGGCGTCGCGGCGCGCACCGATTTGCGCCCGGGCCGCCGTTTCGCACAGTGCAGCTGGAGCGTCGCTGGCTGTCGGGCCGTCGCGTCGCTTCCCATTGTCACGGTTTGAGGTTAGGAAGCAGTCTGATGATGGACTCAACTGGTGCGCGAGGCAGTAGACGGAGAATGTGATGTTGCCGCTGGGCATGCTGCTGAGCTGCGTGTTTGTCGGCAACGGCGCGCTGGAGGGCGGGGGCGTGGCCAGTGCGCAGGATTTGGACCAATACGCCGTCACCTGTTACATCTGCGTCAACGTGTCCGATAACGTCATCTGCAACCAGTTTGCCATTGACCGGCCCTGCCAACCAGGTGAGTCTGCTTGCCTACCTTCAGGCTGGGCCTGTATGCACCTGATGCTGATGCAGGCGAAACGTTTTGCCACACGCTGCACATCATGGACGCCAGAGGGGGTAGCGTCCTGGTGAATAAAAAGTGCACTGGTGACCACGAGTGCCAACGCAACCGCGTGGGATGCGTGAAAATCGACGCGCAGACGGTAAGTAAGCACGTGGGGGCTGCCGATGAAGGGCGCCGTAATGGAGGGGGCAATTCCAGATGTGCATCTCTTGCTGCGACCGGAACTACTGCAACGCGCACGTGCCAGTCAACAGCTCCACGGCCGTCTTCGACGACCAGATCAGCCGGATGCGCATGAACGCCAAGAACCTGTTCAGGGAGCGGGGGAAGGCCCTGACGACCACGGTGCGCCAGTCCCGAGGGGCGTGGCCTAGGGGGCGGGGCCTGTGGCTTCCGGTCGCCGCCCTCTGGTGGGCGTTTCGCTAGTGCGTCCGACACTGGCGCCCGGACTATTGGACCTAACGGTACCGGCGCGCCTTCAAGGCCGCGCTTCGCTCACTTGCGCGCGCGTTCTTCACTTCTTCAGTTCGCAGTCAGTGTCGCAGACCGAACGAGGCAAGCAGGAGAACACGCGTTTTCTCTCTCCCGCAGGGTTTTCAAGCCATTAACCCCGCCCCCAGGCTCCCTAGAGGTCCCAACAACAATCTGCACCAGGTGAGTGAGGGCTGTTGCGCCCCAGGGCGCAACAAAGCGCCCCCTTTCCCCGAGTGACCTCGATTCGCTTGCAGCCATGGATGTGAGGTGTGTGCTGATGATGGTGCTGCTCGCAGTGGGCGCGCTGGCCTCCAAGGATATGACGCGCAAGAGCATTGTCTTCGACAAAAACACCCCCGACGTGTTCTACTGCCCCATCCACAAGCCCACCGGCATGGACAAGCTGATTGTCAAGTAAGTGGGGCTCCCAATCGCGAACGCAGCTGATTCATCAGCGCTTTCGGCTCGCTTATTAGGGGCCCTAAGGGAAAGGATTTCGATTTTTCGTCCTTCACAACCGAGGGCAACTGCCACATTTTTCAATTAAATGGTCCAATTCCGTTGAAAACCGCTCCAAAGAAAAACCACCCCAGTCCGGCCCTGTGCGCTTGAATCGTTACGTGTGTCCAGCACCAGACGTACGTCAAGCGTGCAAGGCCCTGTGTCAGACAAGGACCACAACAGCCAAATCCTTCCGGCCGGTAGCCCGACGGCTGGGCCGGCTTCACAATCATTTGAGTAACTACCGGATTTCAGGGCGAAGCCCCTGGGCAAGCTGTGCGAGTTCGAGGGGGGCCCCATTCCGGACGACTACAAGAGCGACTGCTACCAGGACGTGGACGAGAGCAGTTACGCCTGCAAGGAAAAGTACCGGATAATGGTAAGTAGGCGGGGCGCCGCCCCCCGATGGCCGCGGCCCCATTAACCGACCGATTTGTTGCAGAAGCGCCTCAAAAAGGCTAACGCAGTGGCGGCGGACAACTAATCCCATGATAACCAGCCCCACACACACACACAAACACCTAACCTAAAAATACCGCTTGGGTACTAACGGGGCCCGCAGGGCGCGCTCGCTTCTTGTACATATGGACTGTAATAAATTAACGCTAATCAATCAACTGGGTGTTGTGACTTGAATTGAAAAAACCCTCGCTGCAGTTTTGGAGGTTAGGTTTGGGGGGCGGTACAGGATGTGGCTGTTGCAGATGCGCCTGAGCCCGCCGGGGGCGGACGAGCCGCCCATGGACGACCGCCAGATGGGGCAGATGCGCCGACTGGCGCGATTCATCGACGTCGACCGCGAGTACTACGAAATGAAGCTGGACGAGAAGACGAAGAAATCCCCGAAGCGACGCTTGCGCAATCGCCTAGGCTAGCCGCTAAAAAGCCAACGAGTTCGTAACCAAAGCCTAACGTGATTAACTTTTTTATTGTTTTTATGCCCCAATCAGAGAATGCTACTTTTTGTTAAACAATTAAATAAATTTTTTATTAATCGATCCTGGACTCGACATCGGCGTTGCCACTCTGAACTGCTCAACCACAACTAGCTGTCATCGCTAGTCCCCAGTCTCTAACCTCATTCTACTACTACTGCAAAGTCGTGCTGAAACTGGTCGCATTTCAGTTCCGTTTCGCGTAAAATGGCAGTGCTGGGCCCCCATGAGGCGGCGCCCGCCAAGGACACGCTCCTGCTAGCGCAGGACTTGAACTACGCCAAACATTTGGCGGCCAACGACGAAAACGAGCGACGCAGGGCGCTGAAGTACCTAAAGAAGTACCTGGACCAGCGGTCCAAAGCTTGCCGTAAGTGGGGTGAGGCAGAGTTTGCCCAGGAGGGCCTAACGCGGGTTTTGGGTCGCAGCCCTAAGCGAGGAGAGCCTGCAGGTGCTGTGGAAGGGGCTATTTTTCACCATGTGGATGTCCGATCTGCCCCTGGTCCAGGAAGAGTGCGCCGAAAGCATTGCCCATCTGATGCACGCCCTGCCCCTGGCTGAAGCCATGCGCTTCTTCAAGGAGGGCCTCACGATGCTCCAGAACGAGTGGCAGGGCATTGATCAGCTACGCCTCAACAAGTTCCTTATGGTGAGTGAATTTCCCCGCTCGAGCTCCTCAAGCCTACATGCCCTGATTGCAGCTGGTGAGGAGGCTGCTGCGCCAGGCCTTGGTCGCCCTTAAGGGCAACAACTTCCGCAAACAAAGCAACGACCTGTTTGCTGCCGCCCTGGAGGAGACCGTGCTGAGAAGCGGGGACGCCGCCCCCTTGGGGCTGGTGATGCACTTCACTGAGGTCTTCCTGGAGGAGGTGGCTAAGGTAAGAAGGCAATCGAAGCCCTCCCAGCGGCTAAATGGGGCCGTGTTTCAGATCGCTGACGGGAAGCTGCAGCCTTCGCGCACCATCGACCTGCTGAAGCCGTTTGTGCGGCTGCTGGCCTTTGCACAGGACAAACGCGTGATCGACTGGGTGGTCAAGTTCATCTTCACTCACTTGATGAAGCAGCACAAGCTGGGCCTGGAGTACCAGGAGAAGTATCGCGTTTGGAAGCAGGTGAGCAGGAGGTTGTGGCGGTTGGGGAGCAGAGGCTGTAGCCTGGTGGGTTCTAGCAAGGCTTCGCGGGGTCGATCAACCAGGTGCAGAAGGTGCTGGTGGAGGACGAGGGGGACGAGGCCCCCCAACCGAGCAGGGAGCTGGACCCGAGGGCGGGGCGCGTGGACGTGGAGCTGCCGCCCATCCTCTTCAACGCCAAGGAGCTGGCCGAGGCGCTGCAGCAGCCGAAGGGCGACCCGCGCACCTCCAAAAGAACCCGCACTCAGCTCAACGTTTGGGCGGCAAAGTACGCAACGTCCCCGGTCATCAGCAGGGCACTCATCGAATGTTCGGTTGCAGGTTCCTGAAGCTGCACAGCGGCGTGTACCCGCTGGGGCTGAAAAAGCTGCCCCAATCGAGCCGCAAGCGGAAAGGGGACGGCGACGTCGACATGAACCCCACAAGGGCGGCCAAGCGCCTGATCCGCTTCGAGCAGCGCCTGATGGGCCAGCCGCGGAAGCGCCCACGAACCCGCGAGCGGCCCCCGAAGGCGCCAGCCAAAAAGCGGCGCATTGAGAAGAAGCAGCCGATCAAGGGCGACTTTGTGATCAAGCACGACTGGGGCGTGTGGCACGTGTCGGCGGCCGAGCCCCTCAAACGGCCCCAGGCGCCGCCGTCGAAGCTGCGCGGCAAGGGGCGCGTGGCGAAGCCCCTGCACAGCCCCAGCGGGCCGCGCCGCAAGCGCGTGGTGATCAACACGCGCCTCAACAGCTCGCAGAACATCACCGAGCACATCCAGAAGGTGCAGGCGTCGCCCCAGCCGCCCTGGGACAGCACGCGCAAACCCGGCAAGCCCGTCCTCAAGTCGCCCGTGCGACCCAGCCCCATCAACCCCTTCTACAAGCTAAGGACTGTTTGATTTGTTTTTCTGTTCGCACTTTATACTAATAAACGCAGCACCCTGATTGACTAGTTGCTGCTGTTTCTGCACGCCGCATTATTCAGTTCAACTACCGATGGTCGCGCTGCGAAACGTCCAATTACTCGTTGTCGAGTGACAGTTGATTTGGGTCAGACTTGATTATTACACACTTTTTCATCTGTTTCCATTTCTTTAAGAGCTTGCAAAAGTTGATTAGAACAAATCACAATCAGATGTAAACACCAATGTCAACAAACCAAGTGTCAAATTGGCACTAACTTGTAGTTGTAATTTTGGCCACCAAGGGGCGTCTGGACTTTTGAACCCGCGAATTTTGATTCGAGTTAACGCGCCGACTCTGACAGAGATGTGCAGACGTCACATCCGGGACGCCCGGTTTTCCGGAAGTGAACAGGGGTTTCGGGACTTTTGCAGTGTTTCACGTTACCAAGTGTTTGTTTCTAGTGCCGTTTTGACTGCTCGTTAGATAAAGTGATTCAAATCGAAGGCGGTTTTGCAACAGTAAGTAATTTTCCACCTTAATTCTTGTTCCGCTTACCTGCCATGGTCTGGAAATCCCCTGTTTTCCGCTCGGCTTTGAATGAGCGTTCCCGGGGCGAAATCAGCAATGGACGCAGTGCCCCGGTGCTTGTAACCGAACATTTTGTCGCACACACAAATCAGCACCACTTTAACCGTCAGACGCACTTTTAATTAAAAAACTTTGGCACCGAAACCGGTAACAGGAACGAATCAAATGAGTATCATAACCTGACAAAATGGCGCCGGCTGTGGGCTGATTCGTTCTAACCAATCGGATGCTGGGATGCGTGGCGGTTTTTAACGCCTCGTGATTGGACGCGTCGGGCATACCTTACATGCAACGTTGCCGCCGACATTGCAATGATCATTATTGATTTGCAACGTTTCTCGGTGTTTTTTCTGTGTCGCAACCCAGCAGTTTTGCACCAGTTTTCTATCGGCTGCCCGCGAAAGTTTCCAATTTGAATAACTAGTTATTCGTCTCATCTTGTCCCTACTTTGTCGGCAATCTGGCAACTTGGCTTGTCAGCGTCTCTCGTGGACGAGTTCACACCGCGTGAACTAGATGGGCAAGGCGTCGCGACGTCAGTGTTGTGACAGGGGGCCGTGCGCACGATGGCCGTCGCCGTTCAGGGGCAGCGTCCCATGTGACATGAAGTGCCGCCCCTTTGTCGGCCTCAACCTCAGCCTGCGGCTGCTTGTGATCGGCTACGTGCTGGTGGTGGTGTTTTTCTCGGTGCTGTCGCTGCACCAGATGAAAAAGGGCGCCCCGACGCCCGCCGAGAAACAGGCAAGAGCGACGCTGCGGCCGCCTTCTATACCGCGCCGCCTGATCAGCAGCTTCGAAAGGGGCCCGTTCCGGCCGCTGCGCCGCTGGCGCATCGAATGGTGCGCCCAGCTGCAGTTTATGGGGGCGCAGCCCGGCCGTCCAGTGGCGCTCGTCAGTTTCCCCGGCAGCGGCAACACTTGGCTGCGCTACCTGCTCCAGCAAGCCACTGGTGAGCCATTAATCCATTAAAAAAACCCTCCGCACTGATGTCAACTGTCATTGCCAATGACAGGCTACCTGACAGGCTCCGTCTACAACGACTTGGGCCTGTCGAAGAACGGGTTCCCGGCTGAGGGCGTGGTCAACCGGTCGGTGCTGGTGGTGAAAACGCACGAGTACGGCAGCGACACCCACCGGCAGTTCGACAAAGCGCTGCTTTTGGTGCGCGCGCCGCAGCAGGCCATCCAGGCGGAGTTCAATCGGCAGAGTGGGGGGCACATCGGCTTCGCCTCGCCCGATCGCTACGCGCGCTCCGAGGGCAAGTGTACGCGGCCCCGCCCCCTTACACTAAACCGCGCCCTAATCGCCGGCGATTGGTTGCAGTTTGGCAGCGCTTCGTCGCTCTCAATCTGCGCAACTGGGAACGCCTGAATTTGGACTGGCTGCGCAACTTCCCCGGCCCCACCCACGTGCTCACCTACCAGCAGCTGGTCAACGACACTGAGCACGCCCTCAAGGGCGTGCTCCAATTTCTGGGCGTGGCCGTGCCGCCGCGCCAACTGCAATGCGCCCTCGAGCACAAGGAGGGGATTTACAGGTGGGCGCCGGCCTATGGGCTTTGGGACAGGCAGGTAAAGAGTGGGGGTGTTGCAGGAGGCGGAGCCGCGTGCGGCGCTTAGACCCCTTCACGGCCGAGATGCGGGCGCAGCTGAAGGCCGCGGAGCGGCGCGTGTTCAGCGCCATCTCGCCATCGACTAATAAACGAACTTAGCCAGGAGGGTTTTTTAACTAAACTGTTTTAATTCAAGCCCCACAATCCTACAGTTCTGTGACAAAATGTGTTCAAACAATAGTGGTAATAAGGCGAAAATCCAAAAGCAAGCCACAGCTGCTGCCAGCTACCAGCAAAAAGCCACTTTGAGCCTGGAATGTTCAGCGAAAGGCGGCGCCATCTGTCTAGAGCTTCTTGTACCAGAAGAGATAGTGGTCGCCCTCCTCGATCAGCAAATCGTCCACGCCTAGAACATTAGAGGTAGGAACACGCCCTCTGTGTGTTCCACACAGAGGGCGGGGCTTACCGACGGGGGCGACGAGCTGATTGGCGGGCGGCGCCGATGGGTCGGGCAGCTCGGGCAGCCGGTAAAGCAGCCAATAGTTGTAGCCCATCGGCTCCTCCTTGTAGCCGGCCAGCGTGTGCACGTAGTGCCCGTTGGGCCACTCGGACGCCTCGAAGGCGAAGCGCGCATCCTGCTCCATGGCCGTCTGCATGACTGCGTAGAAGGACGTGTTGCGCGGCGCCGTGATCGCCACCGTGCAGTTTTCCGTCACATTCGACCCCACCCACAGCGTGTAGGTGATCGACACGTTGCGGATCTCGCTGTCGTTGCCATGCGCCGACAGCGACTTTGTCAATCCCTCAATCTCCACTGCAACTGTCACTGTCAAAGAAACCAAACCCCCACTTTTGCGCTCGCCTACCGTTGCTTTCGTCATCAGAGTCGTGTCGTCCGCACTCCATCAGCCGCACCGTTCCAAGGCCGCGCTTGCCCAACGCCAGCAGCACGTCGGAGGTGAGTCCGGCGTCGGTGAAGGCGCCATCTGGGTCCTGACGCGTCTCCAAGTAGGCGCGCGCCGCCGTCGGGTTCCAGTAGGCCTTCAGCTCGGTCAGGTCGTCCAAAGCCTGCAACAGTGCGCGTGTCAGGCGTGGGGGGCGTGGCCCCGCCCGGCTCCACCCACCTGCATCACCAGCGCGGTGTTGTAGAGGTTGCCGAAGCCGCCGTCCGGCTGCTGTTGCCGCGCCAGACTGATACTGGGCCGGCGCAGCGAGTGCTGCAGGTTCCGGTGCCGATGGTCCATCACAATGCACCTTAAGGCCAAAATAGTCATCGCGACTGTATCTGAAAGCCGTGAACAACAATACTGGCGGCAGGGCCGGGCGGCACAGGGGTGATCGATGGGGGCGAATGGGCGTGCCGCTGGATGGGGGCGTGGCTTGCTTACCGATATTGTGGTCCTTGGCGGTGTTGGCGATGTCCAGCAGGCGGCGGATTTGCTTCTTGCGCACGTGCGCCCGCGCCGTGCACGCTGCCAACGTCGCATACGCGAAATCTACACAGACATTTGGTTGACGCTGTAGTGACTCGATACAAACAAACAGGAAAATGTTGCTTGACATTTGACGTTCAAAAATTGAGTTGTTCTTTTAGTTGCAGCTTAAATTACGGTCGAAGACCCTGCAAGCTGCCGGTTTCCGCCCTCCAATTGGCCAGCGATCGGGTGACGGCGGTAAGTAGACCGGATGTTGCCATTTCCTTCATGATTACCAGCATTTATAAACAAAAAGTGACACTTTCACGCACACTGAAACTGGCAGCGGAGGCGTGGCTAAGTGGGTAAAGGGTAGCGGGGGCGTGGCCACCTACCTAGATCGTGGGGGGCCTCGTGGTGCTGCAGCGTGCCAATCAGATCGTGGCCGTGGAACTGGCGCGGGTCGTAACAGAGGGCGCTCAACGCCAGGCAGTACTCAGCCAGTTGCGCAGCCGCGATGGGGAGCTCGTGGTGGCGCCACAGCAGGATCACCAGCTCGATCTCCATCTGTTTGCTGGAGAGTTCCAACTCCAGGTTGGTGGTGGGCCTCCCCTGCAGCATCCTGAGGGCGGTGAGCACCTTGGGCGTGTCGTTGCGCCAGCCCCAGTCGCTCTCCCTGCCACCAGTGAGGTTATGTCAGTGCTAAGACAGCCCCGGCGGGGTTGCCAAGCGGCGCAAAAGGACCCTACCTTTGGGTAATCAGGAACGCCAGAGCGTGGGCGATGATATTGACGGTGGAGCGCTCCGGTGGGGGCTCCGCGGAGGGGGCGGCCGCCAGCGGCGGCTCAGTGGTGTCTGCCCCCAAAAGGAAAACGTGCAATTTTTGGGGTATTGAGAGGCAAATTGGGGAACTTACGTCTGAGGACGCCATGTCGATACTCGGCCGCCACTGAGGTCTGCAGCTCCAGGTCCTGCGAGTAGCCGAAAGCGACCAGCGACGCTCCAAGAATGAGCGGCAGATAGAGCATTATGAGCGCCACATCCAGCCGTTGTCCGGATCAAACAAACAAGGGACGCCTGGAATGAGGCGTCGCGACGGCTTCGGGCGGCGCACAACAAATGCGAGTCGGCGACGCCGACGGCGGCAGCAGCGCCAACCCGATCGATCCGCCTCAACCAGTCTGGATGGCTGGCAAAGCGCCCGACTGCTGACTCAGCGGCCCGCTAATTGCACATTCATGAAGCTGATGGACCAGTTCAGGCTCGCCAGGTGACCATCTGCATGTTGATTTGTTTTGCACACCCCAAGGCCGAGCATCTGCAACCATTTCCCAAAGGGGCGCATTCGCCCTTTCGTCACCAACGCAGAAACATCCTGCTTTTATCGCCAATTTTTCCACCCGGTGGGCAACGCCAACTCGCTCAACCCCCGAAACGCTTGGGAGTTCAGGGGCAACCACCCATAAACCCACCAAAACTGCGCCCCCGATCACCCAAACCGGGCTAATGTAAAATGCGGGCGCATCCGCCATCCCGTCCCCATCTGGGCGCAAACGCGCTCACAAACAACAACAACTTTGTTGTTGTTGTTGTTGTTCCGGATCAAAAGCCCATTTGAATAAAACCTTGACTGCCCGTAAACACGCTTCACCTATAAAAGCCCCCCAGCCGCCCATTCCAGCCAGTAGAGCGACAACAATGGTAAGTACCTGGGCCCCCCATCTGCTCCCCCTAATCCCTGGAATTTTCAGACTTCGTACACCGACAAAGGAGCGCAGGTAAGCCCCCTGTGGAGGCGCCGCCCCCTTTAACCAGGCCCCAACTGTTGCAGCCCACCAATGGACGGTTTCTGGCCTTCGACCATTTGGAGTTCTTCGTAGGCAACGCCAAGCAGGTATTTACCCCATTCAACCGCCACGTGAAACCTCCCTAGTCTAGGTTTACCTCCTTAGGCGGCCAGCTACTACGTGACCAGGCTGGGCTTCCAGCCGCTGGCCTACAAAGGCCTGGAGACTGGAGAGCGAGGCTTCGCCTCCCATGTGGTGCGCCAGAACCAGGTACTTCAGGCCCTAGGAGCACAGGCCCCCTACTAAGCCGCCCCCCGATTCTTTGCAGATCACCTTGGTGTTCACCTCGGCCTACGAGGGCGACGAGGGGGAGTTTGGGGCCCACGTGACTAAGCACGGGGATGGAGTGAAGGCGATCGCCTTCGCGGTGGGGAACCTGGAGGGGATTCTGCAGGTGAGCACTTGAGGGACTAGGAGCGCCTCCTAAGGCCCGGTCTGTTGCAGCATGCGCGGCAAATGGGCGCCCAAGTGGTGCGCGACCTGTGGACTGAAGAGGACGGCGATGGGGCCATCAAGGGCGCCAGCATTCAAACGGTGAGCATCGGCTTGTTTAGTGGGGCACTAATCAGCTAATATTGGGGCTTTTTTACATCAGTACGGCGACACTGTCCACACTTTCCTGGATCGCTCCAGCTACCGCGGGCTGTTCCTGCCGGGCTTCGCCCCCCTGCCTGATGACGAACTGGCCCGAAACCTGTAAGTCTCGGCCACTGCCCCCTTGCCAAGGGCTAAAGCGCGCTTCTGCCGCAGGCCGCCAGGTGGGCTGGACTTCATCGACCACGTGGTAGGCAACCAGGCGGACGGCGAGATGGAGTCGGTCGCCGACTGGTACGAGCGCGTGCTCCAGTTCCACCGGTTCTGGTCGGTGGACGATGCGCAGCTGCACACCGAGTATTCGGCGCTGCGCAGCATCGTCATGGCCAACTGGGAGGAGAACATCAAGCTGCCAATCAACGAGCCGGCGGCCGGAAAGCGGCGCAGCCAAATCCAGGAGTACGTGGACTATTACAAGGGGGCGGGGGTGCAGCACGTCGCCCTCAACACCCAGGACATCGTCGCCTCGGTAACCCTGCGGGGCCCCAATTGACCGATTGCTGAACGCTGATTGGTTGTAGGTGCGCAGCCTGCAGGCCAGAGGGGTGCACTTCCTGCAAGTCCCCGCCGCCTACTATGAGATACTGCGCAGCAAGCTGCGCGGCAGCCAAGTGCGGATTGCTGAGGATCTGCGCGTGCTGGAGCAGCTGAAGATTCTGATCGACTTCGATGAGGAGGGGTATTTGCTGCAGATTTTCACGCAGAACATGCAGGACCGCCCCACTCTGTTCCTGGAGCTGATCCAGAGGCGGAACCACAATGTGAGTCGCTGGGGGGTGGATGCGCGGGGCTTTGAGCGAGAGGGCGGTTTTAGGGCTTCGGCGCCGGCAACTTCCAGGCGCTGTTTCAGGCCATCGAAGTGGAGCAGGCCAAGCGCGGCAACTTATAGGCATTAAACACTGCGAACAGGCGATTGCGTTTCAATCCGGCCCTGTGGCCGGCCCGGTTGGCCCACCTGCCCTGCTAGTGCTGTCCTTGTCGCGCCCATGGCCAGGGGGAGTGGCGCGTGTCCTTGATTAGCGCACCCTGCGCGTTAAACGGCGCAGTGCCGGACTGCGCCCGAAGTGAAACTTGGCGACTTTATTACGGCGATTGTGCAAATGAAAGGCAAATTTGCAAAAGACATTAGCAGGATTAGCCGCAGGTTGCCAGATTGCTCAAGTAGTTAGCGGATTTTCTGCCCAGTCACGGCGAGCAATAGCATGCGATCTGTTGACTCGCACCGGTGTGGACAGTTTCACTCACGCCTCTGCTAATTGGCGGATTTTCCGTCCCTTCACGCGGGCACGTTTCCCCATTGGGCAACGGCGCCGGCCAATCAACCCGCTGCGGCCCGTAATCGGGTCAGTTTTTTGCGGGCGAAACAATGCGATTCGCCACGCTCTCCATTGGCGTGCGTTCAACGCTTAAGCCGTTTACGGCCGGTTATCGACATTTTATTGTCATTGGCCAATAATTTTCGATTGTTTTAGGGCTCATCAACGCTCGTTTGCTTGGTCGCGGTTTTGTGCGACAACGGCAGAGAGAAGCACGAGAGACGTTGGGGAAATCGCGTGCAAAACCCACCTGTACAAAGCAAACAATCATTAAGCCCGGTTGATTAGCTGGGAGGTCACGTGAGCACGCATTCAACCAATCTACAAAGGCGCGCACCAGTCGCCGATCACTGGTAGTGAGCAGTCAAATCCGTCCGAGTGAGATTCAGAGCGCGCCAATCAGACAGTGTGCAGACAGAGCGGCGATTTCGCGCAATTATGACCTTCGCCAATGGGGAGCTGCAGATCGAGGAGGGCGGCCGAAAGGGCGCACCGCCCCCTTACGACGACGTCATCCAACCACCATCTGGTAAGTTGCCCAATTTGATTCCAAATAATCGCGAAGCCGCCCCTGTCGTTCGGCCCGTAGGGCCTTCGGCCGCGCACTGCGCGGCTGCTGTTGTCCTTGTCTGGCGCACTGCACGCGCCGCTCGGTCTGCACCCTCGGGTGTGCTTGGACCAGGTCCAACCGCACAGGGTTGGACTGGGTTTTGTTGGTTGATTGGGAACTGGGGAAACAATCGGGGGAGTTTTCGAGGGGTTTTGCGCAAAAAATCGCGGGTTTTGGGTTCAAAATTTCCCAAATCCTCAGGGCCCCAAATCAGGTTCTTTGGACTTACAGTGACCTCCACGGTACGTGCCAGGCATACCAACTGCGCTGGTAGGCTCTTAGCTGCATAAGAAACCAGCGCAGGAATGTCGAGGCCGAAGGCCTTCGGGCGCTTTCGGCGCCTGAATACCAGCCAATCAATGGCGGAAGTGAGGTTATGAGCACGTGCCGAGCAGCCGATCTTGACCAATTAGTGGCACGGTTTCGCACCTATGGAATGTCATCAGAGCGCGAACAAATTGGGCAAACAATGACGGCAATTTTCTCCCAACTAATTCACAGCGGGCCAGTGGCGGCGCCGCCAATCTGGCACGGAAGGAAGCAGCCAATCAACCACAATCCAATTAAGCAATCTGGCTAATTGGCTGCAATCAGCCCGTTCACCAGTGAGGCGAGCGCAAAAGCGGCCAGTGCGGCCCTGCGCCTTTCCGGGGATGGTGCGACTGAGAGCAGGACACGCCAGAGGGCCGCCGCCGGCCCTTAGCAATGCGCCCGACAAAGATGGCACTAGGCAGGCAGGTCGGTCGCTAGGGCCGTTCCGCGGGCCGCCGCAGGGCCGCATTCACGTGCAAATGAAATTCAATTGCAAAAACGTGCCTGCTGCACACAACCGCAAAACAATTACCCGATTAGCGGCCAAGGTGAATCAGTGGCGTGCCATTTGAGGCCTCACCACCTTGGCAGGTGGGGAACCGTTTGCGCATTATTTCCGCCATTGGCCGCCAGCCTTGGACGACTTTTTCGCGGCGGTTCAGCGGCACTCAGGCCGCCAGTCGGCCCTAGTAGGCCCACCATGGAAGGAAATGGAAAGTTGGCCACCTGTACTGTTGGACTACTAAGACCCACGGCCAGAGGCCAGACAGTCTCAGTTCAAACGCGACCAGTCGCGTTTCGTGCAGCTTTTTATTCGGTTCGGGTTTTTTTTCCTTCGGGGTTTTATTCCGGCCTTGCACTGCTCGCAGGAACCATCCGATTTGGGAGCGTTTGCTTGGGGAATTTGCGGCGATGGGGACGGCCGACTGAGGCGATCTGAGGGCATCTGAGCCCGAAGGGCGGCCTACGATGGGCCGACTGTTCGGGAAAACCAACCGCTACTACCCGAATGAGGTGTTTGAGCGCGAAGTGCCGCCCCCGGTGCCGCCCGCTGCCGCTGGTGAGTACCCTCTGAGTCACCGCGTGGGTCTGAGTTCTGGCTTCTCTGAAGCCTCCTCACTTTGCCAACGGAAAACGGAAAACTCTCCTGCTCTTACAGAGGGCAATTTTAGCTACGGAACCATCAAAAAAGTCCGCGTCCGAACTGGTCCCGCAGGGCCTGTAGGGGGGGGGCTTCGCCCTTCAAATTGCGCCAAAACGCGCCGTCCTAACTGGTCCAATTCGCCCACCGCAGGCATTTGAAAGCGCGACTTGGCATTGAATCAGCCGCACCAACCGGTTACATAAACGGCCATACGTCAGTGGCGTGCGACTGTCCATCACCGGACGCATGTGGACGCTGTCCAAAACCCACCGATTTTTCTAAATTGGACGCGACGCGGCTGCCAGTTTAATCGACTTTTTTCTGCCCCCAATTCCCAAGCCTAGGATGTCTCCTAACCTCAATCGCACTGTTCCAGTGTGGTTCGGCACCAGGCACTTTGTGACGTTCATGCTGTTCCTGGGGATGGCGAACGCCTACGTGATGCGCACCAACATGTCGGTGGCCATCGTTGCCATGGTGAACCATTCGGCGATCGGCGCCGACTCGGACACAACCGCAAAGGGCGTCGACGTGGAATGCGGCTTCACTGCGCAGAACGCGGTAAGTCACGCCCCCCGGGCCACGCCCGCCCGCTTAATAGTAACCAGGGGCGGGGTTTCAGAGCGCGGCGGCGGCCAGTGACGGCGAGTTCGTCTGGGAGACCGACCTGCAGGGCTACATTCTCTCCTCGTTTTTCTACGGCTACGTGATCACGCAGATCCCGTTCGGGATTCTGGCCAAGAAATATGGCAACATCTACTTCCTGGGCGTCGGCATGCTGATCAACTCGGTGTTCGGGCTGCTGGTGCCGGTGGCCGCCCACTTTGGCATCTGGTGGCTGGTCATTGTGCGATTCATCCAGGGACTGGGCGAGGTGAGTGAACCAAAGTTATGGAAGCCGGTCCTGGCGTCCCCAACGCGCGCAGTCGTGCCCCGACCTGCCCGGGTGGTGCGCTCCTTGTCACACACACGCCCCGTGGTAGGGCCGCGCGTCGCTTCACTGGTCGGAGTCGGTGTTTGCGATGTTGCCCGAGCGCAGGACGGGGCTGGGCTTCGAAGCGCAACAATCTTGGTGGGGCCAGGGCCCTTTGGCTATACACCATGGAAGGCGGCGTTGCCTTCGATCCTCAATCCAGCTCTCAGCCTGTGGGCCTTGACTTTATTTGCGCACTTACGCGCACGTGAATCGCCCATAAACAATAAACTCGCTTATCGCCGGCTTATTCAGCAGGCAATAAACTGGGGAATTTAGATAAGGCCCGCAGTCTGGCACTCTGGCAACGCCCGTTTGCGGCGAAGTGAATGGAAGCCGGTCCTGGCGCCTCCAGTGGGCGCAGTCGTGCCCCGACCGGCCCGGTTGTTGCGCTCCTTGTCCCACACACGCCCCGTGGCAGAGCCGCATGTCGCCTCACTGGTCCGAGTCGGTGTTTGCGCTGTTGCCGGGAGACCAGGGCGGGATTGGCCTTTGAAGCCTGCCCATTGTCTTTCCACCATGGACAGCGGCGTTGCCTTTGATCCTCTAAAGTGGGCCTTGACTTTATTTGCATTCCGCGCACGTGAATCGCCCGTAAACAATAAACTCGCTTATCGCCGGCTGATTCAGCAGACAATAAACTGGGGAATTTAGATAAGGTGCGCACTCTGGCACTGTGGCAATCTGGCAACGCGCTTTCCTGGTGACAAAGCGCGAAACAAAGTCAAAATTTGACAGGTAGTGTCAGTAATGTTTTGGGGGCTTCCAGGGCCCCATTGTGCCCTGCACGCACGCCCTGCTGGCGAAATGGATCCCCCCGAACGAGCGGAGCCGCATGGGGGCCTTCATCTACGCCGGTAAGTGAACCGCTTGGAACCGCAGAGGAAAGTTCATTGACTCTTTGGTGCGAAAAGGGGCGCAGTTTGGCACGGTGATTTCCATGCCCCTGAGCGGGCTGCTGGCCGTTTCGAAGGCGGGCTGGCCCTCGATCTTCTACGTTTTCGGCACGTTGGGGACGGTCTGGTGCGTGCTGTTCCTGCTGTGGGTGTACGAGGACCCGGAAGTGAACCCCAAGATCCATCCGGAGGAGCGGATGTACATCCAGAAGACCTTGGGGCGCGTGGCTGGACAGGCGGTAGGTGCTTTTCGATCGGGGCCCCCAACAGGCTCGTTTGACCGAAACCCCCCCCCCTGTTTTAGACGCCGCCTATTCCATGGAAGTCGATTGTGACGTCGCTGCCCTTCTGGGCCATCCTTTTGGCCCACATGGGCCACAACTACGGCTACGAGACCCTGATGACCGAGCTGCCCACCTACATGAAGCAAGTGCTCAACTTCAGCTTAAAAGACGTGAGTTTTGACCCCATTTCCGCCGCAATTTTCCTGATGTTGCTGCTTTTAGAACGGGCTGCTGTCGGCCCTGCCCTACCTGGCCATGTGGCTCTTCTCGATCTTCATCAGCCACGTGGCCGACTGGCTGCTTACCAAGCCCTGCTTCACGCTTACCATCGTGCGGAAGCTGATCAACGCCATTGGTAAGTGCTGGCGCGCGTCGCGCTTTCGCCACTAAAGTTGGGGGCTTTTAGGCCAGTACGGGCCGGCGGTGGCGCTGTTCGCGGCCGCTTTCACCGGCTGCGACCGATGGCTGACGGTGGCGATCCTCACCTGCGGCGTGGGGCTCAACGGCGGCATCTATTCCGGCTTTAAGGTGAACCATCTGGACATCAGCCCCCAATTCGCCGGCATCCTGATGTCGTTCACCAACTGTCTGGCCAATCTGGCGGGCCTCCTGGCCCCCATCTATGCCGGCTACATGGTGAAGGGGACGGTAAGCGCGCCAATGGCCACTAAAACCGGCGACTGACGTCCAATTGCTTACAGCCGAGCATCGCGAAGTGGCGCAAAGTGTTCATTACCGCCGCCGCCGTTTACGCGGCCTGCTGCACCTTTTTCGTGCTGTTCAGCTCGGGCCAGCGGCAGCCGTGGGATCAGCCCGCCGAGCCGGAGGAGCCCAAGGACCCGAAGGAGGCCAAGCGGCAGGTGGCGGTCACGCAGACCTAAACCCCCATAATGTGATTCTTAAGGTAAGCGAGCTGGATGGACGGCGTGTTTGCGTGCTACTTAAGGGCTGGTGATAATGCGGCAGGAATACCTAGGCTAAGTTGTTGTTTTTAGCGCCCCCTGGGGGCCCTTATTAAGTTATTGCTAGCTGTAAGCTGATTTATTTTTAAAGAAATTCCATTGAGTTGAAAATAACCGGTGCGAGTTTCATTTCGAGCGCATTCGCCCTATTGCCGTCAATACTCCCCAATGCATGCGCATTCGCCAGATTGTCGTCAACGCGAACTTTGGAGGAAAGCCCCTGTGCAAGCACATGAACCGCCGCTAGATGGCTCGGGTAGCTCTGAAGCATTTGCCCCTCAGCGCAGAAGCAGGACTCTGGGATCAGGGGGCGGGCAACCAAAGTGAAACTCGTGCAATTTTACGAAAATGTACTTTTTCTGTCATTCGATTAACAGAGAAGAATCCATTAGTAGTTAATTAGTTAATTAGACAGTGAGACAGTGAGGAAATGGCACAACGTTCAGGAGCACTACGTCAGCTTAGTCTGGCGCTCAGTCTTCATCGGGGGCGGCGGCGTCCTGGGGCGGCTGCTCCTCCATCTCGTCCAGCTCCACCTGGAGCCGCCCGTTGCATTTGGTGATGAGGCTGCAAAACAACCAGCATTTTTCCGCACGCCGAAACATTCCAATTCACTTGCGATTTGCATTTAAATGGGAAAACGGGGCGCAAATCGCGCGCTCCCAAACAACCAATCGAACTTTGCTAGTTGTTGGGCTGATTGAAAGTTTGCGGAACGGGGCCGTTTGCGCGGCCAATTTTCCAGAGTGAACCATCGGTTAATTTGCGCCTCTTCGCTGGACTTTCGTGACGAATCGCCCGTCGTCCACTTGGACTTAATCCGGTTAGTTTTTAACCCCATCGGGCTGATCGTCTTCGATCATCCACAGCGAACTGAAGTAGGCGCAAAGGAAAACACCCAAATTTCAGATCGAAATCTGCCCCCGGAAGGAAAATTGCGAAAATTAGCTCAATTGGAACTCGCCTCAAATGTGGCTTGCGTAAAATGCTGAAGAAAAGCTTTGGAACCCGAGCCTCCCGATCCCCTCAATCCCTGGGCAAGTCCACACAAGGCCCCCTAAGACAGGGCGAAGTTTGCCCTGCATCCAGGCGAAAAACGCGCTCTCCACCGGCCTCCTGCTGCGCTCCCGCCTAATTCCTGCCTAATTAACATACAGCCCTATCACTTTGATCCATCCGGCGCTCCATCACTTCCAATAATGCACGCGCTAATTGATAAACGCGCGTCCACAATGCGGCCCGGGAAATCGGGGAAATGCGACTTACCACAGTAGCCGATCCACATTGTCCTGGCTCCTCTTCCCGTAGCCCCTAGGGATCATCAGGGGCATCTGTTGCGCCTTGCCAGACCGTTTTCCATAGCCGCGCGCTATGAACAGGTCGTCGCCCACGCGGGTGCTCCGCGGCCGGATCCCCTTGTCCAGAGCCCTGCAACATGCCGAACCCGGTTAAGCAGCCCGGAATGGGCCGCAAGCTGCTGCCTACCTGTAGGGGCGCTCGAACAGCTCGGGCAGCTCCGCCGCAATCAGAAAGCGCGGCTTGAGGCTGCGGTCCTGGGGCTGCAGCCTCGATGGGGCCGGATCGGGRGCTGGACGCGCCCGTCCCGCCAGCAACCAGGTGAAGAACAGGGCGAAAACCAGGGCGGCATGATGGAAGCAAACGGCCATTTCTGCAAAACAAGCCCCGCGTTAATTATTGCGGATTAATTAGCGCAGTTTTGCAAGTCAAACTCATTATGAGGGCGCGATCAAACAACCGCGTTTTATTGTGTTTACCCCCCGTCAGCGCCGCCTTATTGCGATCCAAATCAGAAAAGTTTGCTATCTCGGAAACCGGGGGGGTTTTTCCTCCCGGGAGAAAAATCCCCCAGGGCCAGTCCGGCCCTGTGCGTTCGGCGCGTCACTCCACCTGGGCGGGCGCATGCCAAACAAGGCGCGCACCATCACAAGCGCTGCGCCCGACAAGGACAGTACCAGGGTGCCATGTCGCAGCCCACACGTCTGACACGTTGCACCACAGGGCCGGCTTCCAGAGTCTCAATCGGCCTGTTGGTAATTAATGTGGGGCGCGTAGCGCCGATTAATGCCGCGTAATTGCATATCCTGCCCAAATCGAATAAATTATGCCAAACACCAGCCGCCGAATTGAAATTCAAAAGCCATTTGGCGGGCGGCAAAGAACAACAATTGGGGGGAATGCAAACGCGGAAATTCGATTGGGCTGTTTGCCGCTATAAGAGAAGAAAACATTGGCAAAATGCCGCCCCCGCCGGGGATGGGGAGCGCGCGTTATCCCCCAATTAGGGCCGCACATTAAATGGCATAATCCATAGAAAAGAGTCGCTTCATTCGTCGCTCGCAACACACGCATCGATGCCCGATAAAGTTGCACGTATGTTTTAACTAATTAATTAATGTGGGCTAATTAATTGGCGGCGTTATTTACGGGTCATGGGAATATTCTTCGAATGGGTTTACGCGTTCTGCGTGGGACGACCTGCAAGTTAAGCACGGGAACCCAACGAAAAACCCAGTCCGACCCTGTGCATTTGATGCGTCCCACCGGGGGTAGCTAGAGCGGGTAGACGACCCACGCTATGCCCCTTTCAATGTGCCAGACAAAGACCACACTAGCCCAGTACCTGCGTTGCGTCTACCCGCTCAGGGCCGGCTTGCGCACTACTGGAACATTGCCAAGGGGCGTGGCATGTGGGCAAGGGGCTTAGGGGCATTCAAAGGCCACCAAGCGAAATGGGGAGCAAAAAATGTGCGAGGTTTCGGAACTTTTGGGGAAGCGGCAGCGCCTAAATGAAAATTTGAGGGTAATTCTGCTAAAAAGTCGACGGGAAAACGTAAAATTGCCAACAGCTCGCCTATTAGCGGGTTTAGGGAAAAAGCGAGTACCAACTTTCTAGGGTTTGACGCGTTTGGGAGAAATGGGGGATTTTCCAGTTTTCCGGCCAGTCGGGGGCCGGACGTTTTATCAAGAGCGACATTTTTTCGTAGTACGCTTGCGTTGGGAGAAACACGTAATCAAGTGAAAATCGCGCAAAACTCCAAGGAGAAAAAGTGATTTCGAGCAAAATTTTAGAAAAATTGGAAAATTTCCCTTTGCTGGGCGAAGACGGAAAACCTTCCACAGACTCGTACGGGGCACCGTCTTCAAACCTCCAAAACTTCCCCAAATCCCCGCAAAATTTCCCCATTTTGGCGCACAGAACTGCTGGGGACCGCTTGAAGGGGACCCAACGGTGGGCAAATTTTGCGACTTTTCCCCGAAAATCCGACGGGAAATCGGAGAATTGTCGATAACTCAGTTATTGATGCGGTTAGAGAAAAAGCGAGTACCAACTGCCCAGTGGCGTGCTGGGAAACGCCCGGGTTTGGCGCGTTTGGGAGAAACTGGGTGTCCAAAAAAACGATTTTTGGACACCCAGTTTTGGGGCTTTTTTTGCGAAAACTTTTCGCAGGGAGCTGAGCCACCGCAAACATTCCCTTTGCAAGGCGCATCAGTCGGGCAGAACGCGTCCTCACCTGGGCGCAAAATGAAATTCCCATTTTTCCCCAACGTCCGACGGCAAAACGACAAACTGCCAACAGCGCGCTTATTAAGGGATTTAGAGAAAAAGTGAAAAGGAGCTTTTTGAGGACTTTCGCACGCCCTTTTCAGCCACATACCCGGAATTGGCGCATTTTGTCTAATTTGGAAGATATTGCGGTTTGAATGTGAAAAAAAAAACAGTTTTGGGACATTTTTTCGCAAATCCCTCATTGGGTCGCCGGGGAAAAAGAGCCGCTGAGCCCCTTGGCCTGATGTTTGATCAAGAGCAACAATTTTCTTGAAAAGTCGCACTTTGGCAGAAATTTGGCGAAAATCGCGCAAAAACCCCATGAAGATTTGCGGCAAAAACAGTTTCAAACCGCCAAAAAACGCTCGCATCTGAATCTGGGCCATTCGCGAACGAAAAACGCGAAAATCCTTAGAGCCGCCCATGGGCGGCAGCCCACCCGAGAATCGCCCATAACTCCGCAACCAGTCGCCCGACGCAAAAACTGCATCCCACCTTTCCGGTCGCTCTTGGCGCACCCGCCCCAAAACCGGGGCTCCATTGGGCAAAAAAGCTCTAACGGGCCCCAACATGCAAAGAAAAGTGCAACTTGGACTCACCTGTCTGCCAGTTGACGGTTCAGCAACAAACTGTTGGACGCAGCGCGAAACTTCCGAAGTTATGTGGAGTTTGCGGGACATGCGCCCCCGCCCGCTCAACCGCCGCACATCCATGGGGGGGCGGCGGGCGGCCACCTAAACCGATAAAACCCGTACTCGCATTTAACTTAATAAGTGACATATCGGGGGCGCGGGGCGGTTGAGTCGCATTTTTTCCCATAATTACTGATTCAATATTGAAAGAGGCTGCTTATCTAAAAACGCTGTCGCTCAGCCGCCAGCCGATGGGCCGTTAAACGGCTCTCATTAGGGAAAGTGAACGGGGCTATTACCTGGCCGATTCGGCGACGAGATGGCGCCCCCTTTGCGCTAAGTAATAGGCTTAGGGGTAGTAGGTGTAGGGGTGGTGGTAGCCGGCGCTGGCCGGGGATGCGGCCGCATGGTACCCGGGCTGGGGCACTGCTGGGTAGGCGCCGAACGCCAGGTGGCTGTCGCCCATCAGGGGCCTCCCGTGCTCCCCCAACTGCTCGCCTCCTACAACGCGTGCTCAGCAAAAACCCTCGGGGCCTCCAAACAAGGCTTCTTACCTGCCAAATCGCCCCCCAGCATCCGCGCCTGGTCGAAGATGCGGTGTTTGTTGCCCAGCCCGTGGTCGCCTAGCAACCTGCAACAGTGTCAAAAACCCGTCAGTCCCACCCGGGGGGGGTGTTCCGCGGAGGACTCAATCTGCGCGTTCGCTTCGCGAATTCACACGAGCAAGCGCCACATTGGCTGAGATGAGCAAGAGAGAGGGCGATATAATCGTGCCGAAGCCTGTCACTATACGGTCTGTCAATTTGTCCGGCGGCGGAGGAATTGACAGATCCAGTTGCGCAGGAGTTGCTCCTTACCTGGAGTTGGTGATCTGGTGCAGGGGCAGGCCCCTGAGGGTGAGGTCGACGCTGTGGCGCCCCGGGGGCGAGAGATCCAGGGAGACGACGCGCACCAGGTCGTACGGGGGCGGCGTGTAGTTGAGCCGCAGGTCCAGCTCGGGGTAGACCGGGTGGAAGCGGTTGATGTTGGCCGGGTAGTTGTGGAAGCTGCGCGTGGACATGTCCAGGCCCTGCAGGTCGGGCTCGCGCCCGTCCATCGGCCCCAAGTCGGTCGGCTTGGGGGCGTCGTAGACKCGCAGCCTGCCGTCCGGGTCGGCCTCAAGGGGCTCGGCCTGGGGGCCGCACTCGCTGTTCTCCTCGAACCAGAGCCGCCGGAAGTAGTCGTGCATGCGAATCGAGGGCTTGACGCGCAGCCCCAGGGGCCCCTTGCCCTCGACCGCGTCCTCCAGCAGGTCCGGGTGGGCCGGCTCGTAGCGGCGCGGGCTGTCGCCCGGCCAGCCCCCCGGGGCGAACGCCGCCCGCCCCGGCGCGGATTCCGCCCCCTTGGGGCGGAACTGGTCCTCGGCCAGCCCGTACTGCAAGCCCGGGCCTTTGCTGTCGCCCTCCAGCTCGTCCGTGACGGAGACGTGGTCCACCGACGGCGAGATCAGGTTGATGTCCTGCGACTGGTAGTCGTCCTGCAGCGCGTACAGATCGGGACAGTCCGGGACGGTGTGGGACACCTCGACGTCGATGTCCAGGCTGGCGTCGTTGCAGACCGAGTCCAGCGCCGCCTCCACCAGGAGGCTGGCGTTGGAGGTGTCGGCGATTGAGTACTTGGGCTGCGCCCCCTCGAAGCTCGCGGCGCGAAGCGACTCCCACTTTTTCTCGCCTGCAAGCCCCACAATCAGCCACCCGAGAGCAGGGGGCGGCGCCCCACCCACCTTTGGCGGCCGGCTCCTTGATCATCTGCTCCACTGTGTGCAGCCCCAGGGGCGCCTCCTCGAAGGCCGCCGGCGGCTCGGGCTGCGCCTTCTGGTCGCCGCTGTACGCCTGCAGCGTGTAGGAGACGGCGCGCTCGATCTTCGGCATGGAGTTCTCGTCGAAGCTGTGCACCTTGCGGTAGTGCAGCTGCAGGCACTGCTTGGTGGTGAAGGCGGCGCCGCAGTCCGCCACCGTGCACCTGAAACAGAGTGGCGCACCTGCAGGGGCTCCCTTGCACCTGTGGAGGGGCTCACTTGAAGGGCTTGATGCCGCTGTGCGTCAGCATGTGGATCTTCAAGTTGGACTTGTTCTGGAAGTGCTTGGTGCAGACCGTGCAGGGGTAGGAGGCGTCGCCCTGCTTGTCGTGCACCTCCTTGATGTGGCGCTGCAGCGCCGCCCGCGAGCCCAGCAGCTTCAGGCACTTGCTGCACTGGAAGTCCTTGAGGGCGTCGGCCAGATCTGCAACAGCGCCGCTGCAGTCGGCAGGCCCGAAGGCAGCAGCTGCACTCACCGCTGTGCATGCGCTTGATGTGGATCTTGAGCTTCTGCGGCTGGCAGAAGTTGCGGCCGCAGAAGTCGCACAGCGACTTGCTGCGCTGCGGATTGGCGGAGCATCCGTAGGTGCGGTGCATTTCCAGGTAGTTGAGGCGCAGGAAGAACTTGCTGCAGAACTGGCACTGGTAGGCGCCCTTGCCGTTGTGCTGCTCGGCCGCGTGCTTCCGGATGTTGTCTTTGCCCAGCACGGCGGCGCCGCACACCTTGCAGTGGTACTTGCGGATGGTCAGGCTGAAGCGCGTGTCGTGGAACAGCGAGCAGTGCACTTTGTAGTGCAGCGGGTGCTCGAAGGCCATGTTGCAGCCGCCGCAGGCTGCAGCAAACGGTTGTTTTGCTTCAACGGGGGGGCGGAGGGATTAGGGCGCGAGCCTACCGGTTTTGTCGGGCTTCTTGCGGCCGCCCGCCTCGAACGTGTCCTGCCAGTAGAGCAGCTCCTCGCCCGCCAGGAGGGCGCGGATGCTCACCAGGTAGAGCCCGCTGTCTTTGATCAGCACGGTCAGGTTGCGCCCCTGGCGCGTGGGCGCCGGCCGCACGGCCCGCATCCAGTTGGAGCTGCGCGGGTCCTCCGTGTCCAGGTAGGCGTTGCCGGCGCCCAGCTGCAGCTCCCAGATGTGCTTCATGTCGCAGTCGTCGCGAATGTCCACCGCGGTGCGCTTCGCCCCTATCAGGGGGCCGAACTGCGTGTGGGCCGCCAGGCCCCGCTTGGCCACCACCCCCGTGTCGCGCGCCCCAAACGCCAAACASCTSGGCAGCGAACTCCTGGAACCCACCCCCATGCCCCAATCAGCTTTGAGTGATAATTTTTGATTGGCACYCACCTGGCCAGTTCGGGGCTCTTGCAGAACCCGTCCCAGAGCGCCGGGGCGTCCGCCACCAGCTCCGCAGGCTTGTGGACGGGGCAGTCGCTGTCGCAGTGGCTGGCGTCGCAGTAGCGGCACGGCTCCTGGGCTTCGCCGCCTTTGGGCCCCTTTTTCCGGCTGCGAGGGAGCTTGGGCGCGTCCTCCGGCTCCAGCGGGGCGCTGCTGCTTGAATTGCCCGAGTCCCCGTCGCTCTGGCCCTGCTCACTGCCCGAACTTTGCCTGCTGAAATCCAGCGCTTTCAGTCGCCGCCGCCCACACGGTGGTCGGGGGCCCACTCACCTCACCAGGTACTCCTGGGCGATTTCGAGCAGCTTGGCCAGGAAGCCTTCGTTCGAGTGGCAGGCGAAGCTGTGCTTCAGCGTGCACCAGAGCTGGAAGGTGGTGGCGCCCACGTCGAACTTCAGGCCGATGGTGCTGCAGTCGGGCTTCGCCCTGACCTGCAGCGAGCAGTTGTTGATCGCCTCCATTGCGTCTTTGTTGTGTTGTGGCTGGCCGCTTTGAGGTTAAACCTGCTGCGAGTGACTTACGACAAGTGGTGAAGCGAGGGTGTAGTTCCGCTGTTGCCAGTTTAAAAAAATATTGGCAGATAAATAAATACTGTGTTTTCCAATACTTTGGTATTCATCAATATAATACCGATTTATCCGACCCAATCAATAATATAACTTGAACATTCTCATCTTAGCAGAACGTTTTAAAATAATTTTCTTTAGGCTGAAATGGTCGGTTTTTATTTCTATCTTTGTTCTTCAACTATACTAAATAGGAAACACTTTGCGTTGTTTGGCTTGTGGGGCGTTTGTTGAACGACTGTGTTTTTTGTCAAAATTCCTTCAATTTTGCATTATTTTCAGCTCACCGAACCCTGGGTAGTGTTGGATTCTTCCTCTATCATGCTGTCTTCATCTATGAGGCTGGCAACACTGCCCTTTGGGCGCAGGATCTTGCATCTGACACAGAACATACCCCCATAACATAGAGGGATATTTTGTGGCATCTGGCATCAGCTTTGATTGTTGTGGTTTGTGTTGAGTTGCTGCTGAAAGTGGCCCGCCAGCTAGAGGAGCCCCATTCGAGCGCCACGGTTTACCATGGAGGGCAGCAAGAAGGCCAAGACCGAAGGTAAGCGATCCAGGGGCGGGCGGCAACGTTGCGGTCGGGTTCTAACCTCACTCGTCACATTGAGGTTAACCTCGCTTGGTGCAGTTGTCGCGTGAGTTTGTTGTGGTGCAGTTCAGAGCCCCATAAATATGTTGAGAAGGCAGGCGCGTCTGCGGCGCGAGTATATCTACAAGAAAACAGTGGAGGGCCGGCAGAAGGCCATCCAGGACAACAAGCAGCGAGTGAAGAAGAGCCTGGAGGGGAACACGCAGATCCATGGGGACCTGCAGGCCAAGGCGCTGCACTACGCCAGCAAGCTGGAGTGGGAGGACGGGGGGCCGCAGCAGGCGCAGCAGCAGCAGGACGACGAGTACCGGTACGCGGGCGCCGAGGACCCCAAGATCGTGATAACGACGTCGCGCGACCCGAGCGCCCGCCTGAAGATGTTCGTCAAGGAGCTGCGGCTGGTGTTCCCGAACGCGCAGCGCCTCAACCGCGGCAACTTCGAGATGAAGCAGCTGCTGCACTCGTGCCGCGCCAACGACGTCACCGACTTCATCGTGGTGCACGAGCATCGCGGCGTGCCCGACGGCCTCATCGTCTCGCATCTGCCGCACGGCCCCACCGCCTACTTCACCATCTCGGACGTGGTGATGCGCCACGACATCCCCGACATCGGCACCATGTCCGAGCAGTACCCGCAGCTGGTGCTGCACAACTTCGCCACGCCCCTGGGCGGGCGCATCGCCCGCGTGCTCCAATGCCTGTTCCCCGTGCCCAAGGCGGAGGCGCGCCGCGTCGTCACCTTCGCCAACCACGACGACCACATCAGCTTCCGGCAGCACACCTATCGCATGGTGGAGCGCCAGGTGGAGCTGTCCGAGGTGGGGCCCCGCTTCCAGCTGCGCCCCTACGAGATCAAGCTGTGCGCGCTCGACACGGAGGCCGCGGCGGAGACCGAGTGGGCGCTGCGCCCCTACATGAACACCAGCGCCAAGCGCCGCTTTTTGAGCGACAAGGACGGCTGGCTGCAGGACGACGCCTAACTCTGTCACTCTCACCATTAAACGCGTCAAACTCACCCAGTTGCCTGATTGTAGTTAGAACCCGCCTCAAAACACTAAACATTCGTCCACGTTGCAGACTTGGAGGTGACGGGAGTGTCACGCAGCGGCCGCGTGCGCAAAAAGTCCTCAAAACTGATGGATTTCGAGTCGCCCGACGACATTGAGCGGGGCTTCGCCAAGCGGGCGGCGCCCGCCAAGCGCCCAGAGACGCCCAAGCGGGCGGCCAAGCCGGAGGAGGCGCCGCCCTTCGCAGAGGCGGGCAGCGACTCGGAGTACGGCAGCGAGTACGAGCAGCCGGCCGAGAGCAGTGTGGACGACTCGGTCGAGTCGGAGAGCGACCTGGAGGAGAACGAGGGCGGCTTCAAGCGGCTGGACGCAAGCCGCAAGTCGCAGCTGGTGATCAGGGACGGCAAGATCGTGAAGGCGGCCAAGGGCGACCCTGGGGCGCCCCGCATCCGGACGCCCAAGCGGTCGCCGCCCAGCCCCAAGGCGAAGGAGGCCTACAAGGTGACCGGCATCAAGCCCATCGACGTGGCCGCGCACCTCAAGCTGCTGGGCGAGAGCCTCACCATCATCGGGGAGCGGCTCAAGGAGCACGAGGTAACCCCGCAGGCGCCGCCCCAGTTGCCCCTCTCACCTGGCGCTGTTTCAGGGCCAGATCGCGGTGTCCGGGAGCCTCTCGGTGCTGCTCGACTCCCTGCTGTGCGCCCTGGGGCCTCTCATGTGCCTGACGCAGCAGATCCCCGAGCTGCAGCAGGGCTGCTGCAGCCCCGAACAGCTGCTGAGCACGCTGGACAACGTCGCCTTTATCATGCCTGGATTGTAGCTGGAATTAAACCGCTTTAGTATTATTTCAGCGAACGCGTTTATTTAGCAGGCGGCCGCGCTGGCGCGCTTCTTGGGCTTCATGCCGGGCGGGTGGTTGACGCACTGCGCCCGGCAGGGCTCGTCGTACTGGCAGGCGTCCTCCTTGGGCGCCCAGTGCTTGCAGCAGGGCCGCACGCACGCGCCCGGCTGGTACTGGGCGCGCTTCTTCTTGGCCTTGGGCGGGCAGGGCTGGATCTGGGCGCCCCACACGCCGCACGGGTGGCAGCCGGGCGGCGGCGTCAGCCGCATCGTGCAGGGCTGGAACCCCGTCGGGCACCCCTTGTCCTCGGCGGGGGGCGGCGGCTTTTTGCCGCAGCAGGGGCTTCGGCCGTCGGTGGTCACGCCGTTGCAGCGCCCGCGGCGCGGGTCCGCCCCAGCCCCCCCGCTGGCCTCCGCGTGCCAGTCCACATTGTAGTTGTTGTAGAAGTTGGAGTAGCGCGTCCTCTCCGCCTCCTCCTCGCTCATGGCGGGCTGCGCCCACTCAATCAGTCAACCGGCCCTGGGGCGCACGTGTGGTACATACCTGCTGGCTGCTGGGCGCGGCGCACGGCAGCTGCAGCGGCTTCACCGGCTGGGGCACCGTAGGCGCCATTATGGGGGGCGCGCTCACCATGCAGCAAGTCACGCACGGGTCCTGCGTGGGGGCGCACTGCGCCCCGCTGTCGTAGCGCTGCACCAGCTGGCGCAGCCCAGCCACCAGGTCGGCCGCCATTTTGGGCCCCAAACACGAAAATTTTCTGGACAAAACTGGAATTTTCCTGACCGCTGACACGGTTGATCGGCGTCGCCTGGCAACGCGGGCTCGAGCAGGCGTAGCAAACAAAACGCCGCGTCGTCCCGGGCAACCGATCAACACTCACATCGCGTGCGACAAGCTGCTGTGCAACAGTGCTCCAAATTCCAGTGATTTTCCCCCCCAGAAGCCCCAAAATGTCCTGCTGCCCTCCTGCCTGCTGCCCGCCTGCCTGCTGCGTCCCCACCTGCTGCCCCCCCGTCTGCTGCATGCCGTGCTGCGTCCCGTGCGTGTACGTGCCCTGCTGCTTCCCGTGCCCGCCCTGCTGCCCCTGTCCCCCCAAGGTGAGCCCCTTGCACTTTTTCGGGCCAATCCGCTAATCCCCCCGTTTTGTTGCAGTGCTGACCCCCGAAGGACATGAGGGGCTTCGCCCCGATAGTTTAGCAACGAAATGTCATAAAAACGCCAAGTAAAACGTCTAATTCACTCGGTGCCTGATTGGGGTTGAAAAGTAAGTAGAGCTCGATTTGGTCGGTTTTTTATTAACAACGGCTGCTTAGACTCTAGTAGTAAGTAGAAATGTAAACGGGCGGGGTTCCTAACCTAGGGGGGGGGCTAGTGGTGGCCGTTGCGCAGCTCTTCCAGCTAGAAACAGCTCAGTGAGTGCCCGAAGGTCCGCGCAGACGCACTCACCTCAGCTTCGCTGTCCACCGAGTCGCCCTCGTCGTCGCTGCCATGCACGGAGGCGGCGGGCGTGGTCATGCGGCTGGAGCTCGGGCTGGGGGGCTCCGAGATGGGGCGCGGGTACTTCAGGGTGCCGATGGAGCTCTCAATCTCCTCCACGTAGTCGGGGAAGAGCTGGTGCAGCGCCTCCATGCGCGCCTGCCTGTAATACTGCGCAGCATGTTAGCGGGGGCGGCCCCTGCGGCGCGCGCCACTCACCACGCCCAGGTTGCGCCAGTCGAGCATGTCGCTGAGCCGCTCGGTGCGGTTCCGCTGGATGATGCGCTGTCGGCGACTCAGGCGCGCAAAGTCGTACATGAAGTGCGCCAGCTGCTTGACCGAGTCCTCGAGCCCGATGTAGCGCCGGTCCACGATGTAGATGCCTGCGAAACGAGGGCGGTTAGCGGGGGCGGGCGGAGCGGGCGACTATGGGGCGGCACCGTAGCTTTGCGGGTCGGCGATGTGGTCCTGCATGAAGCAGCCGAAGCCGCTCAGGTTGGTGGTGATGCTGGGGATGCCCATGACGGTGCACTCGGCCGGCGTGTAGCCCCACGGCTCGTAGTAGCTGGGGAAGACGCCCAGGTGGCACCCGCGCACGAACTCCTCGTAGTCCAGCCCGAAGAGCGGGTTGGTGGTGCTGAGGAACTCCGGGTGGAACACGATCTGCGCATAAGGGGGGCTTAGTTAGTTAGGGCCTAGCGGCCGCCTACTCGCACCTTCACGCGGTCCTCGGCGGTGTTGAAGAGGTTGCAGCGCCGCACGTGGCTGAGCACCGGGTCGTTCCAGTCGTCTAAAAGCCAGCACGTCGGTTAGGGGTGCTGAAAGGGAAAGCCAGGGGCGCAGCCCGGTCTTACCGATGATGTTGTGGGTGGTGACGGGCGGCAGCCCGTCGCGCTGCAGCGAGTAGATGCAGCGCTTCAGCCGCACCAGCTCCTCCTTGGTGAGCAGGTCGGCGCCAGCCGGCAGGCGCCCACTGAAAGCACCAGCATGGCGAACGCGCCCAACAGAGCCGACGGCACCTACCTGAGACAGACCTCGTACATGCGCTTGCCCACCTTGCTCTGGATGTCCACAATGGAGTCGCGCAGACTCTTGGTGACGGCGTGCCCGCGCAGCGACTCCACGTTGAAGTTGTTCGTCTTGGTGGGGAAGATCATGAAGGCCACCACGGTGATGTCGGGGTGCGCGGACTGCAACCGACCAATCATGAGCCCGGGCCACGCCCCCCGCCCCACTCCCTACCTTGAGGTAGTGGTTGAGGCGCGCCAGCGCCTCAATGAACAGGTCGGCGCCCTTGTTGCCGAACTCGTAGCGGCCGGCGATGAAGAAATAGAGCGTCTTGTCCAGGTCGAAGTCGAAGTGGCCGTAGAAGTGCCCGCGCACGAACTCGTGGATTTTCTCCTTGGAGAGGGCGTGCAGGTTCTGGAACTCGTGCAGCGCGGAGAACTTCTTCACGTTGAGCCCGTTGGGCGTGATCACGTCGGGCTTGCGCTTCAGCAGGTGCTCGGCCTCGTAACCTCAAAAACCGCCCCGCCCCCCCGTTATTAACTGGGCCCGCTAATTAATTACACTTACCGGTGATGTCGGACACCGTGGTGAACGTGTGCGCCAAGTGGGTGGCGGCGCGCTCCATGCAGTAGCGGTGGTAAATCTGGCGCTTGCCCGCCTCCTCGTCCACTGCAAACTGCAAAAAAGCCACCATCATCATCATCATCCCCCGTCATCGCAAGGGGCGCGTCTCACCTTGTCCAGGTTGTTGTAAAAGTCGGTGTTGCCGGCGCACAGGTAGCGCCCCAGCAGGGTGGCGTGCGTGGTGAAGACGGTGGCGACGGCGATGTGTCGGGTGCGCACGGCGATCAGCCCGACGCCCGCCTGCCACTCGTGGAAGTGGACGACGATCTTGGGGGGCGTGTCCTCGCCGTCCTGCTGCGCCGCCTGCTTGAACTGCGCCCCACTATTAGGCCCCGCCCCCTGCAGCAGGCCATGCAACCCACCTCGGCCATGAAGTCCGCCAGCATGTAGCCCAGGATGATGGCGTCGTTGGCCTCGATGTCCAAATGGGGCACGCCGATGTTCGTCTTGTCCCACAGCTCCTGCTTGAACTCGTCCAGCTTCCAGGCGGCGCTGCCCACGTCGAACAGGATGATCTGGGGGTTGCCCTCCACCAGCCAGCGCCCCGATACCACCTGCAACCCGTTTATTAGAGGCGCGTGAGCGTTGGGGGCGGCCCCACCTTGAAGCCCTTGGCCCTGCAGGCGTCCACCGCCCTGTTGAGGGTGCTGGAGGCCAGCGGCCCGTCCTCCACTTCGGTGCGGGCGCACAGCTCCTTGTAGGGGCCAATCAGGCAGTACTGGTCGCCCATCTCCTCGGTGGACACGTAGGCCTTGGAGCGGATCACCGTGTAGATGCCGCCCACTGCAACGCGCGGGATTAGAAGGGGGGCGACTGCGCGGGGCCCATGGGGCGGTACCTTTGTTGGCGGCCTCCCAGGCCACCTCGAAGGTCCAGCGGTTCTGCTCCTCGGCGG